ATTTTACTTTATGTTCTTATGATTTCAGTGTTAATGATTTTCAGAGTACATGCATATCTTCGGGAAGTGAACCATTGCCAAAAGGAATTGTTTGCCAGACATCAGACATGGAAATGGTGCCTCTATGGGGTCCTCCAAATGGAAAGGTGTACTGCATATTTATCTCATAGTTTTATCATCTTGTTACCTAGCTGTTGAGTGTAAGATCGTTCAAGGTATTAACCAGGGATTAGTTTTTCCAAATGGTGGATCCTGGTAATGTTCTGACAGGATCTGTATCTGCTGGCATTATTTTGTAACGGGTCTGTGCTAACTAGCACAAGTTCAATACCTGACAAAAGGAGTTCTAAGACACCATTCCGCCATAATGGAGCACAATTCATGTTGCACAAACACTAGGATGATCATGTGCAAATTTTGGGATCAATATATTGTCTGTATCTATCAGCCATCATCTTTGAATTTTGAGTAGGCCATTGTGTTGTGCGGTTGCAGAAATCTGGACTGCAACAAAAAGTATTTGTTCTATGAGACTTGTAGTTAACTGTGATTATGTCTAAGAAGATATGATCTCTATTTTGAATAAATTGTATATCACATTTATGTTGAAGTTTACTGTGATGACATCTATTCTTGCAAATTTTGGGAACAGGAAAATAACATTTTGCAAAAGAGCTTATTGGCGATGCCAGTTGGAATTAAACAAAAGGAAATTGTAAATCAAATCATAATCAAGGTAAAATAAAATCACTGTCTCATGAATCTTTTTCTTGTTCAAATTATTTAAATGGTTCTAGTTTTAGCCAAATTCTTTATCTGTATTCTAGTTTGCTTCCAGTGACTTCACTATAATTCTTTTTCACTACGATGGTGTTGTTGATGAATGGAAAGACTTACAATGGAGTGGCAGTGCTTTACATATTTCTGCAATCAATCAAACAAAATGGTAATTTATTGTTCCCAAAATATAGCTGAAATTATACACTTGAGGTGTGTAGCTCGTTGTAAAAACAATAATATGTTTTGCAGGTGGTTTGCTAAACGCTTTTTACATCCAGACATAGTTGCACCATACAAGTATGTCTTCCTATGGGATGAGGATCTTGAAGTGGAAAATTTTCATCCTGAAAAGTCAGTGTTTGTTCTTCACCATTTCTTTGTTCAGGATATGAAAACTAGAATTGTATCAGGATCTTAATGGTTGAAACTTTATTCCTAGTTTAAATGACAGATGTGATTTTAGAGAACTGAGAAATTTACATTGAATTGTCATATAGTACTGGTTAACTTGAGCTTCTTGTCATTGACTTGAGTTCTTGAAGCATCTTGACTTGAGCATTTGGAATGGAGTTTGAAACTTTATGAATAGCTTAAGTCCATGTTGTATGGCTTGGATTAATTTGTTCAGTAGTTGTACTTAGCTGTCGTTTAACTCCTGCAGATACTTAGCAATTGTTGAAAGGGAAGGCTTGGAGATATCACAGCCTGCACTTGAGCCAGCGAAATCTAGGATTCACCATCAGATTACTGTACGTTCAAGGAAAGGAGATGTACACAGGTGCTGTTGTGTCCCCAGTAGAACTGATCAATACTTGGCTATTTATTTTGTTGCAAGTGGAATCTATTCCATACTTCTGGTATGTGATGTCTACTTCTCATAGCATTGGCAATCATGAGAATAATTTGTTTGAAAAACAGAAGGATGTACAAGTTCAATGGTGGCAGCAAATGTTACCAGAACAGTAGTGCTCCTCCGTGCACTGGGTGAGCTTCCTTTTTCCTGAATGCGTATTTGTTGCATTTGGATATCTAATCAGTCATATTGATATACTTTTAATTTTTCTATTGAAACAAAGGCTATCCTTCATCCTTTAGTGAATAACAAGTGTTTGGGTTAAAACATAAAACTTTGAGTGGACCTTTTTGGATACTTGCTAATTTGATTGCACATGATAGACAAAGAGGTTGCAGGGGATACGTATGTATAGTTACACGGTTTGCATAATCAATATTGCTTCTGTTGACATTTTACATAATTTAATCTGTTCGTGACTACCAAACTCATAAGTGGACACGCAGAACATATTCAACATAGGTTATTACTTGTATATGATCATGTAAATTTGTGTGACAACTAAACCAAACTGCAATGTGTTGACCCCATTCTTGGATTATAGTTGAAGATGTGAATTTCATCTTTCTCTGACTTTGTATTTTGTAATCTAAAAAACTGAAATTTAATTGTGATGCTGGACTGGGAGAAGAAGCTGAAGCAGCTATTTCTAGGAGAACTTCACAAAATAAAATTCTTTCTCTGACAGTTCAATAAATAGTGCTTTCCTTCACTGCTGACAGATTTACTTACTGCAGGTGGGTAGAACTGATGGCCCCCGTCTTCTCAAGAGCTGCCTGGCGTTGTGCATGGCATATGATTCAAGTCTGTTAAAATGCTTTAGTTCTTTATGTGAATTATGTTTTTCATGCATCTCTCTAATTCTACTATTATGTTCTTTGGGGTTTCTACATACCTATCCTTGTGAAGTTTAAAAATAGTGTAATTCCTCTTACAAATTCTATCTTAAGTTCCTCTACGTATTGAGATATTCCATACGTGCTCCTCTCAGTCCAAAAGCTCAATGTATTATGTAAGCCACTACTAATTGCAGCTACAAGTAATTTGATTTCGAAAATGTATAAACATATGGAATATCTTAAAAATTCTTACCAACATGAAAGTCTCATAGAAAAGTATGTTCTAAGGGTATCAACATCAACTAGGGTTTCAATTAACAGCCAAATGACAGTCGACTGATGGAGATTAACTATCAAAACATATTTACGAGGTTTTATGTTTGTGCAGATTCATATGCTTAATTTAATTTTGTGGGATAAATATGGAAGTCATTGACTTTAGAGGCGTATATAAAATTTTTTGCTATATTGTTTATGCAGAGTTTTGTCAAAATTTTGTTTTCGGAAGCAACTATTTGGTTCTCATATCATTGCCATATAATGAGATCTAATGTGACTCTGGAATATCTTTGTATAAACAATGCAAGACACAACTCTCTGACTATGTTTCATGATATATTTTGTCTTCATACTGAAATATAATAAATAATCCCTTTCTTTGTCATGTTTCTTTGTAGAGTGACTTGATTCATGCATGGGGTCTTGATATGAAACTTGGTTACTGTGCTCAGGTAAAATTCCCATATACAGGAACAGTGTTTTCAAATATTTATTGTCAATAAGACATCTAAGAAAAATCTTGATAGGGTGATCGGAGCAAAAATGTTGGAGTGGTGGACAGTGAATACATAGTTCATAAGGGATTGCCTACACTTGGTTGGTTTGACGAAAAGACGGTAAGTTCCTAAAGAAAGTCCACCTAAGGCTTGATTTTGAAGAGACCAACATGACACATTTCCTTTTATTTTAACACGAAGACTTGAATTCTATTTTATTATATTATTATGCTTAAGCAATCCCCATTCCCCATATACCCTACTACTTTTTTATAGTGAAAACTATCCTGCCTTCAATTTGGATATAGGCTTGTGACGCAAATGATGAAATCTCTATGTTTTGTGTTATTTTTCTCTCTTTACTATTCTTTAAATGGTATATGCTAGTCTATGCACCACAACACTTAGGATTAGTTGGTTGATGTAGGATTTACAAACCAAATCTCTCAGCTACTCTCTCTCCTCCATGTCTGTTCAACATGCCTTAGTCGTGTGTTATGAATTCATGTCAAGGATGATGAACTAAAATGTAAATTGCTTGCAATCTTGAGTTATGGAGAACTGGTCAGGTTCTCATGCCTTTTCCAAATTATAGTTATTTTGACCCATCTGACTCATAGATTTGTACTTGACAGGTATCTTCTGAAAGACCTGCTGCCAACAACAGATATGCGGTAAGTAATTGCATTCGCCATATTGCTTCTGGTCACCTTTTTGATGATATATTCAAGCACCTACTACTATTTGATATTCTATTACTACTGTCTTGGACAAATCAGGCCCATCTTTCTTTTCTGCTTTCTTTATCCTAATTTGATTCGATCAAGCTATTTTGCAGGTGAGGCAGCGATCTTATGTTGAATCAGAGATCTTCAGGAAAAGATGGCAGAAGGCTGTATCAGAAGATAATTGCTGGTCCGATCCATACCCTGAACCTAAGACAAACCCTGGACAATAGCACTAAACTTGCAACATAAGCTAACTCAAACAATTTAAGTACAAATTAGTTAACCACACTATACAGTCACTGTCAAGCTCGACACATGGAGAGTTGTCATCAGCTGCCATGACGAAATCAATCACGATAAAAAAATGTCTCAAGTAAAGCGGCCATCTGTTTCAGAGTCATAGCAACAAATGTATAGCTCAATCCTCTAATAATGTTTTCAATTCTTTGTCAATGATAATAGATTATAGATGTATGTTTTTTATTCTTTCATTTAACATGACTGGCCTGTAATTTCTATTTTATAGTCAGTCTGAGCTGCCTCATCACTTTAATGGACTGAGGGTACTTCTCCTGTCTTGAGATCAATTCAGTATTCTTGAACAATTCCCAAAACCACCAGTCTTTTATGCTTCAAAGTTTTCTCTCCTGGGAAGATGATGTTTTCCAAAGCCACTCCTGTTGAACTTTCTGATAGCAGGAAACCTTCGTGTGAGATGATTGATATAACCAGTAGGGTTATACTTTTACATTACTAATTTCATGCCTCTATTTTTCAGTAAATTTGTACTAAATCTGTCATGGTGTGAATTCACTTACCATGGTTAAGATTTGGAGAAAGGCAATATTCTGGGAACACCTATTTGGCATCTGCAGAAAGAAAGCTAACCTATAACTTGTATGTAAAGGATTCATATGCTTGATTTTGTTCATCATTTATTTACTTGTGGATTGGAGTACATATCATGCCATCATCCTTGTAATCTTGTGAGCATCAGATGCACATTCCACAAACCCATAGGTGCAATTGGGAAAATAAAAAACCACAAAATTGGTCTGTCTTTACAAATTCCATTTTCCTTTTTCTTTTCTCATCTTCTGCATCATGTTTCTAAATGATCACAAATACAAGAAAACCAAGCTTGTTGTAGAATTATATTCAGCCTTGACTCATCATAGAATTCACCAACACAGGGATTGCCGAGAAACACACATTCAGGAGGAAAGAAGAATTTTCCAGGAGGGCAAAAACAGAACAAGGGTTAAGAGTTTGGGGTTAGCTCATGAAACCCAGAACCACATAGTATGCCACAAGCACAGGCAAAGAAACCAGCATCCCAAAAATTACCCTGAAAGGAAGAGAATGATTATAAACTAATCAGGAGAGATGGCTAAAACAACCGAAGAACATAATATATTGTGTGTAATCTGTGTATGCAATCTTGATATGTATCAACTTACGCAGTGCTTAGCACATCAGCATGCAATCCGTATTCTCTTGCGAAGATGAAAGAGGTGATGGACTGAGGCAGTGCAGCCTGCGAAATGTTCAGCAGCAGCAGAATTAATCGACTCAACATGCAAGAGTTATTTTCTCTGTAGAGAATAAAGCCCTCCCAATTCTGATCTAGGAATGATGAAGATGTCATACACTTTCTTCCTTATAGGAGGTCTTAAGGTCAATTTCTTGCTCTACACATGCTGTGGTTATTTATGGTCTTGATGTGTTCGTATGGATGCAAAGCTTTCTCTCCCATCTCCGAGAAATAAAATAGTTGTGCATGTAATCTGTCTGTCTTGTGTAAATTACATCAAAAAAATACTTTGGTGGAGCTGTTCGAAGTAATGATCATTGAGTCTATCAGAATGTAAACTATGATCATCTTCTGCTTCAGATTGCATGCAACCGAAACAATGGCAGAACAGTTAGATTACCTGTATGATTGCCAGATGCAGGACGTCCCCACGAAGTCCGACGGCGATGGCTCCGATGGCCGTGGCTGCCGGGCCTGCGATAAACTTCAAGACCATCCCAAATGCGGTCAGGCTCGGTCCACAGGCGAGTATCTTCTCTTGCAGAGCCATGAACAGCCCTGCAAAACAATGGCGATGGGTTCATCGGATTGATCCACCATAATGGTTAGGATTTAGTGGTGAGTTTGATGTGTTTACCCATGCTGAACATGGCCATTCCAGTCCCTGCCTTGGACATGATCAGAACTGAACCCTCCATGATGCTTGGCATCTCGAAATGCCACCTGAGTCAGTGATCCATCAGATGCAAGGAAAGTGTTCGAAGCTTTGTCGTCGTGCAGTGTTGTTTGCGGTGCTGTACCTGCTTGCGATGAAGGCCCAGGTGATGCCGACGATGCTCGCGTATGAGTTGGGATTGAGAGCAAGCTTGAGCCACACCGTCTTCATCAGCGACCAGAAGGAAGGTCGTGGTGTGACCTCGGGGCCGCCGCCGTCGACGTCCTTGAGCGGCGGTGATTCGACAGACGCGAGCTCGCCACCGGCGGAGGAGGGAGCTGCTGCCATCGAGAACAGCCCGCACCCCGCCTTGCGGAGTTCGAACACGAACAACAACAGCGTGAGCCACACGATGGCCTGTACCACCGAGAGCTGCACCACCAGGTCCTGCGCCCACCGCCCGTACATGGCGCTCACCAGCGGCACGCCCACCACCAAGGAATTGGTGAGGGTGGAAAGGGAGAAGCTGGTGACGGACCAGCAGTAGCTGCCCTTGCTGCTGCACTTGGGCCACGCGGCTAACAGCACGGCGATGGTGACCTTGGAGACGGCGTCGGCGGCGATGAAACGGTAGTTCATGGCGAAGGGGTCGACGTGGAGCGTGAACTCGAAGGTGAACAGAGGGAGGGTGATGCAGGAGACGAGGCGGTTGATGGCCTCGCACTGCTCCGGCGTGATGATGCGCCACCACCGCACCGAACCGTACCCGAGACCCAGAGCGACGTACAGCGGCGCCATGGCCACCACCACCTTGTAAATGTCGCCCCAGCTTATCATCTTTCTTGGTAGGGTGAACCGGAGAGGACTACAGACATGTCGGACGTGAGAATTAGGGTATATATAGGCATGAGAGAAGAAAAAGGAAGGAGAAGGACGTGAGGTGGATGGCCGCATCGATTCGAATGCTGTGGATGCTGCCATTGCACGAGAGATCATCCGCTCGTAATGCTGCATAACTTTGGTGGACTGCAGGATTCGTCGTCACTGCAAATGCTTTGGTTATCAGCTGACAATGTCATTGTATGGTGGGGTTGAGGAATTGTTTCATGTTGGGTGGGACCCATAGAATTTAAATAAATAGATAAATAAATAAACAGATTAATTTTTGGTCATGAAGAAGAGAAAAAGATAATAGGGACGAAAGGGAACTGTCGCAGACAAGAAGATGGGGGAAACAACATGCTTTAGATAATAATTTTTACTTCTTAGACTGCCGTAGACAAGAAGAGAACTGCCGTGACAAGAAGAGAACTGCCGTGGACGAAAGGGAACTGCCGCAGACAAGAAGAGAACTGCCGTAGACAAGATGGGAGTTAGGGTGGGGGAAGGAGCCATGATGGAAGAGAACTGCCGTAGACAAGAAGACCGAGGGAAGCAACATGGTTTTAGAGGGGAAAGAAGGCGTGACAGATATTTAGATAATAATTTTTACTTCTTTTTTTTTTCGTATATTAGTTTTGACATAAATCATGTAATTGGGGTGAAAAGAATACATTATATTGGGAAAAAGTATAGTCGATGTCCTAGACACCATGATGTCATCCTGATTCATGTATATAGAGTCGTTCGAGATAAAAATTATATTCTCCCGAGTTGTCACTTGCACAAAGATCGAAGTTATGAGAGGTTTTTCGAGTCAATCCCTTCGATGTTTAAGTTAGTCCCGAGGTCAATTTCTTTAAGTTTAAGTTTCTTTTTCTTTACCTGGAGTTAGGGTGTATTTTTATATTTGACCTTGGAGAGATGACGTATTCCATAAAGATTACGCAAGAGAAGCAGTTTATGACCGACCCCAGTTATCCCTTAGGCTCTCGAGAATATTTATATGAATATTTCATAGGAGAGATAGTTTATAACTAACCCAAGCTGCTCCTCTAGACTTTCGAAAATATTTCTATAAATATTATATAGGGGAGGCAATTTGTAACTAACTTAAGTTGCCTTGACTCTCAAGAATATTCCTATGAATATTTTGTAGGGGGGTAGTTGATAATTGATCTGAGCTACCTCTTGGACTCTTATCCATGCAAGTAAGCAAGTGTAAGATATTTTGGGCTTTTCCTCCATGGGCCTTACGTGGCGCTTACATGGCAGGTGATGGCTAGCAAATTGCATATTCCTTACTATTTATCCCACCTCGAAGACATTCTTCGAGGCTCTTGCAAGAGGGGTTCAAAGCGCATCATTTAGTTCATTTGACACATGTCCCTAACATCATTATCAGCACGATGTAGCCTTAAGAGCATTCGAGATCTCATCTTATGAGTAGGGTTTTCTCGATTTAGGTGTTTCGGGCACATTTGACTTTGCACCTCTGTCATCGAGGATTGTGTTAGTCATAGGTGCCCTACAAGCCAATTACGTGAGTGATCATATGTGTGACACTCTACGTAGTCTTTTTTTTTACTTATTATTATTATTGACATTTTCTTACTTTATATTGTATGTTGTGTGATGTCCATGGATTTGTGTAATGGGAATCGGATTGTGATGGGATCACGATAATGAAACCGATTCATATTTAAATGTATACCCTAAATAATCATAATCGTAGGTTACTAGAGAGGGATATCAAGATAATTGGACAGACTAATGTACTATATACCTATCTATACGATGGAGGTGGTTGGTCTCATAGCTACTCGTGTGGGGACAGTAGGAATATAGTGAAGATACTTATTGGAGAATGAGTTCACTAATTGATCCACTTATGGAATGCTAGATGGTTGATAATACCTCATTATTAGTCAGTAATTTCGTGGTCTCAATTGTATGTCTGACCCTTAAACTTGATCCACAAATAATATCTTGTGTGAGTACTCAACTCTTTGATATCGAACTTATAGGTTTGAAAGTTTTAGATCTAGGACAACTAGTCATCGGGAGTGACAACCAACCTTACGAGGGTAATTTAATATCGATTGAGAATCATCCGCTCTTGGTATCATGAGAGAAATATTCGATGTATTCTTGCTCAGGTAAATCACTAGCTAAGGTCATTCGAATTAAGAGCGGAAGAGTTCTCTAGGAGAATCCGAGCAGAGTAAAACTCGAGTAGATTCTATATAGGCTTGGAAACACTATACCCGGTATATAGTCTCTAGGATATTAGATAGATGAGGGACTATATATACACGATAATTGAGGACAAACAGATCCAATAAATTTGATTCATTTGTATCATTTGGAAACTGTAACGTAATGGCCTAGTATACTCGTAGTCAATGAGTCAAGTGAATTATTATAAGAGATAATAATTCACTAAGTCAGAAGGAGTTCTAACATATATGACTCATGACTAGCTTAATATTAAGCCTAGAGAGTCACACACATATGGTAGATATTGCAATGAGTAAAGGTTCGAATATGAGATATTCGTTGAAGCCCTTATCTTATTAGATTTCCAATAAACCCATGAATTATTGGATCTTGTGAATAAGATCCAATAAGAGCCTATGAGATATTATTGGATAGAGATTCACGAGGTTTGGATAGTTGGATGAAGAGCTAATACCTAATAGAGTAGGATGCATTATGGTTAAGTTAATAAAACCTCTATAAATAGAAGGGAGCCAAAGGGGCATATGCTAAATCTTTTTTAGTTGCCACCTCCTATTCTCCTCCCTCCCTCTCCTCCTCAGCTGATAGTCCTAGTTTAGAGTGTATGGATAACAAGAAGGGTAGGTTCTTTCTTGATCGCGTGTTGCTTGTGGAGAGGAAGATCGTATAGCGATTTGATTAGTGTCTTCGTCACATTTACCATGTGGATCACCACTAAAGAGGATGATAGCTGATCTCCTTCATCCACTCCTACAAATCTACAATTTCGTAGGAATATACGTGCTAGTCATAGATGTTCTATAAGTAAATCACGTGAGTGACGACACGCGTGATATGATATACATTATTTTTTCTTATTATATTATTTAATATTTTATCATTTTCTCTTATATGTTGTATATATTGTGATGTCCATGGATCTATGCAATGAGAACCAGATCGTGATGAGATTACGATAATGAGACTGATTCACTTTTAAACACATACTCTAAATAATCCCGGTCATAGGTCACTCGAGAGGGACATCGAGATAGTCAGATATACTAGTGTGCTGTACACTCATCCATATGATGGAGGTGATTGGTCTCATAGCTGCTCATATAGAGACATTAAGGATATCGCACAAGTGTTTATTGGAAAATGAGTTCACTGATTGATCCACTCACAAAATGTTGGATGGTTAATGATACCTTATTGTCAGACAGTGATTTCATCGTCCCAGTGGTATATCTGGTCCTTAGACTTAAGACACTAAGGATGTCATATATAAGTACTCAACTTTTTGATACCGAACTTATAAACAGAAATTCTTCCAGAGAATCTGATTAGAGTAAGACGCAAGTAAAAATCGTATAGGTCTGATAACACCATGATAGAGTTTGGAAAAAGGGTAACCTCCGCGTACGAACAGTAGCTATTTCTATAAGAACAGAGGGAGTAAGTAAGAGTTTTAGAGCTTAAGAACAAAGGGAGTAAGTAATAGAGTTTGGGAGCTCGCTACTGCGAGTTATTAGCGTTGTAGTTACTTCTTTGCCTTATTGCCCGGCGCCAAAGGATAAGCAAGCTTAGGGCACCTGCTCCATGCCAGTAACCACACCTTTAATGGAATTGAATGCACCACACATCACTTATAGAGGAGAGTAACTTCATAACTAAACACCGAAACGTTAGCACCCTTTAGGTGAATTTATGCAGAACTATAAAGGGCCCCTCCCCTATACTAAGCATTAAAGAACTTAGTTTAAATGAGATGAGAGTAATAAGCAAGTGAGTTTTAAAGGCTAGTTTCTATTCCGCCGTGGACATAGTGGAAAAGGACAGTTTGTTTCCGAGGATATGAGTGAGTTTTCAAAGACTGTTGGAGAGTTTCAATGATAGATGTTACATTATATATATATATATATGAAAAGTAATTACGTAGTCAATTTATCTTTCAATTCAATCAAATTTTTTATACTGACATACAAACATAGCATACATTTTAATTCTACATTTATCTTTTTTTTTATTTAACTAGTTGATTAATAGTAGCTTTCATCCAAGGAGGATGTTGGAGAAAATAAATATATTGATTAATTTCTTAAAAAATAATTTTTTAAAAAAATTATGAAAATACAATCAAAATATTAATACAATAAAAACACCCCCATTTTTTTTTCTCATTTTGTGATAGGAATTGCCAACAGAATTTGATGACACAATAACAGCTGGATAAAATCCATTTCAATTCCCTTACTACGTTTGATGCATGAACACTCTCCTGCAATTTGTTCCACCATGGTATTCCTGCATGAACTCATAAACTAACTAAAGATGTAATTTTTATGATGCTTTAGATCCACTTAATCAAGATATGTTTGATATATAATGAAGTAGTGTTGATAAAGTCTTTATAAGAGCATATCACGTCTTGCACTTTTTCTTCGCTCTGTAGAGATTCCAGAATTCCTTCAGATGAGCAGATGGGTTATATGAACAATTATTGTCCACTGACATCCATAATTGAGACAGAAGATCTGCACCTTACAAGCTGTAAGCAAAGGTAACATTGTTTCTTCTCCTTTACAACACAATCCATTAGGTCAGGTGATGAGCAGGCCAAACCAGCCATGGATTATTTAGATGCTGCTAATATTATTCTTTTTTGTTTCTTTCCTCCATGGGAGAATCTGATGCTTCAAGCCTTTTCTTCTACTTCTTCATGTTGCAGGTTGACAGGAACAATGGTATCAACA